CTGGGCTAATTGTAAGCAACCTCCCCGTTGCATGTGGTGCGGGGGTGGCCACCTGCACAGAGAGTGCCCCGAGAAAGAGAACGCTACCTCCACTCCAGGGTGCTGTAACTGTGAGTTGAAGGATGGGGAAAAACCGCATCCCGCTAACTACCGCGGCTGCAGTCACGCGAAGGAGGAGCTGCAGAAGAGGAAATTGCAGAGAGCACCCAAAACCACAACAGGAAGGGTGTTCTCATCAAATATAGTCACTCCTGGAGTCTCCTTCGCGGCGGCTCTCCGAGGCAACACGTTGCAGGAGCAGCGGTCTCAGACTCTACATACACCAGTGGCAGTCCCACCAGCAGTCAAGAAACCGACCGTCCCGGTTCCTGTACTGGAACAACACACAGGTCAGTCAGTTCAGGCTTCTAATGTAAACAGTCAATCTCTCGACAATATGTTGAGAGTGGTGACTGTAGTACAGCAGATTATGACAGAGGTCAGTGGTGCAGTGTCCGAAGAGGAAAAAATAATGGCCATTACCAAAATTGTTCTGAGTCTTATGAAACAGAATGGCCACTAGAGTTCATAGGCCCCTCAAAGTCATAGCATTTAATGCGAACGGCATTGGGAGGCAGCGCTATGAGCTCAGTAAACAGCTGCAAGACCTACACGTAGATGTGGCCCTGTTTTCAGAGACACATCTGAAACCTCATGAGAGGTTCTTTATTCCAAATTACCACTTTTATAGAATCGACCGCCAGTCGGGAAGAAAGGGCGGAACTGCCGTTGCAGTAAGAAAAGGCATTCCCCACAACCATGTAGACCTACCACCCCTTGTTTCAGTAGAAGCGACAGGGGTCTGCATACCAATTGGTAATAGCGAAGTGCTGCTTGCAGCTGTTTACAAATCTCCAAGCAAAGCCTGGAGTGATGCTGACATCACTGAGCTCTTAAGCTTCAGACGTAAGTCTCTTTTGGCAGGTGATTTGAATGCTAAGAACCCATTTTGGAATAGCAGAGTTTCAAACCCCTCAGGCTTGGAACTCGTTGATTTATTTGATAGGAGTGATTTTGAAATTTCAGCACCACAGAGCCCCACTCATTATTCCCCTGCGGGAAATGGTGACGTGTTAGACATTGTGGTTCACCGAAATATCAGAGTGTCAGATGTCATCGTCTCTGATATTTTGGACTCAGATCACCTACCAATAGTATTCCACATACTGGATCATGTTAAAATTAGGAATCTTTCGGAACCCATTGAAAAATTTACAGATTGGGAGCGGTTTCAAAGCCTCGCTTCTGAATTAATATCACCTAAACTAGAAATTAATTCGGGGGTAGAAGCCGATAAAGCGGCACGCGACTTTGCAGCCTCTATTGCTTCGGCATATAGGCTGTCGACAAGTAAAGTTACCCTTTCGGACATAAACAACGATCTTCCTGGTCTAGATCGTTTGATAAAATATAAACAGAGGCTACGAAAATTGTGGCAAGAAACCAGGGATCCAGCGTGTAAAACGGCAGTCAATTGGGTCACCAAATCAATCAGGCAAATGACCCGTAAAAAGGCACTTGAACGGTGGGAAACAAAAATAAGTAACACCGAAGTCACACCTCAGTGTATATGGCCCATTGCGAAATCTCTCCTTCAGAGAGACGGACCAAGGGCACCAACTGCTATTCATGGTTCTTCTGGCCTAAAATTTTATCCTTCTGAAAAAGCCAATGAAATTGCCGACTGTTTGGAAACTCAGTTCACGCCACATGACCTGTGCGATAAAAACCATGAAGAGCGGGTGGAGGCTAGAGTTCAAGCTCTGCTGGAAGCCGTAGATGAAACCCCCCCTCTAAGGATCAGACCATGTGACGTTCATAAATTAATAAAATCTCTGAAATTAAAAAAGGCCTGTGGAATTGACGGCATTCCAAACGAATGCCTCAGGCACCTTCCAAGGAGACCATTGGTTCACCTAACTCACTTATTCAATCACTGTTTTCGGCTCTCTCACTTTCCAAATACTTGGAAGGAAGCAAAAATAATAACTTTACCTAAACCGGGTAAAGACCCGAAATTTCCTCAAAATTTACGTCCGATCAGCCTCCTGTCCACGACAGGAAAACTATTCGAAAAAGTAATTTTGAAATTCCTCCGTAAACATATTGAAGAAAGAGACCTGCTCAACGCAAGTCAGTTTGGTTTTCGTGCACGTCACAGCACGACATTGCAATGTATGAGGCTGGCGGACCACGTGACCCTTAATTTCAACAATAAAATGTCTACGGCTGCAGTGTTCTTGGACATCGAAAAAGCCTTTGATACCACGTGGCACTCAGGCTTGCTGTTTAAATTATCAAAATTGGAATTCCCCAACTCTTTGACCAAGCTTATTGGGTCCTTTCTCTCTAAACGTAAATTCAGGGTCTCTGTTGAAGGCGAAATGTCAACGCCAAGGGAAATGCAAGCAGGGGTGCCACAAGGTTCTGTTCTTTCCCCTACTCTCTTCAATTTGTATATAAATGATGCCCCCCATACACAAGGCGTTCACCTGGCCCTCTTTGCAGACGACACCTGTCTGTATGCGACAGATCGCAAAGAGGGTTTTATTGTTAGAAAACTCCAGCGCGGTCTCAGCTCAATGGAGACCTGGTGTGAGCGCTGGAATATAAAAATTAATGAAGATAAGACTCGGGGGGTCTACTTCTCTCGTGGTCGTCGACCGCCTGAGTCTTGTCTTACTCTAAATGGAAGAAACATTCCATTTGTAAATAGTGCAAAATATCTAGGTGTAATCTTCGATAAGAAAGTGACTTGGAGATTACACATAGAAATGATCGAAGCCAAGGCCTTCAGAACATTCATTAGAGTGTATTCCCTATTCAAAAGTGAGCGATTGAGCGCTAACATTAAACTGACCCTCCACAAAGCTCTTATTAGATCCGTAATGACTTATGCTAGTCCCGCCTGGGAGTTTGCGGCAGACACTCATCTAGTGAAATTGCAGCGCCTGCAAAACAAGGTTCTCCGCACGATTGGCAATTTTCCAAGGCGCACACCGGTCCGCGATTTGCACATGGCATTCAAAATCCCGTACGTATATGATTACATAACAAAATTATGCAGGCAACAAGCAGAAGTCATACAAAATCATGATAATGAGAATGTTCGCAACATCGGACAAGGCGAAGCCCGACACAGAAAGTATAAGAGGCTTAAACTTGGCGGCGGTCAGGCATACGACCGTTCAAGTGACTAGACTGCCGTGGTAGCTAATACTACTAAGATATATATATATATAAAGGGCATAATCTACTGTATCTGGACTGACAGAGGCTGTGTATACATTGTACATAGAAGTAAGGATTAAGTGTGTATTTGTAAATGTATGTAAATACAGACAATAGACTTAATACAGACTGACTGACAGATGACAGACCCGACCTCTCGTCAGAGAGGGCGCTACACATGGACAGGACGGTAACTTTCATTAAAAAGAAATATCTGGTCATGAGCCCCAGCTGGGGCTCGACACCAAGACAGACAGACTGACCGACCGTCAGTTGTAACATGACCCTCGCCCCCTCGCCCCTCGCTGGCTTTGGAAGTTCCTGATCTTCTTGATGGGGTCTGTGACCACGAAACTAGGCACACAACCTTGAGTGAGAGCATCGGCAGCTTGTCTGCATCAAGTGCCAATACTGTAACCTTCTGAATGACTGATATTTATGAGACTTGGTATGGACATGTCAAATTCCAACCCATCTTCGAAAATCGAAATTAAAAAATTACGATCTTCTATGTCTAAGAACAAAGCCTTAAATGCATATAGGGCACATTAAGGTCATTCCATATGAAGTCGTCCAGGTAGGCCGCTCGACCATTTAAATATGTTTTTAAAGTTTTTAACTTTAAAAAATATTTCTTAAAAAAATTTAATCCGCTCGGTTCTCCCGGTACAGCCGATTTTATAATGCGAAAAAAAAGCGTTTTCTGCTGAAATGGAAATTTGCGTTATCTTCTGTATCTCTATAACTATTGAAGCTAGAGACTCCGATAAAAAAAAGAACAATTTGCTCCTCATGATATGGACTACAATTTATGTTATCACAAGTTTATATTCAACTCACTTCCTCTATGTCTAATTAAGTTTGAAACTTACCTATCGATTTTGAAAAAAAAAGCTAGAGTTTACTTTCAAAAACCAGTGGGAGGGGGAAAGTATCAGATCTGTGGTTTTTACCCTTTGTTGTTGTCTACATTGGGAATATGATCACGTAGTTTTGAACCCCGTATCTATTTTCCAAAATTTTCCACTCGATGTTACAGAAATATGATACAATAATGATTTATCTGCCTCAGGACAGATACCGCTGGAAGACTCCAGTGAATACTTCAATCAACATACGGAGTCACTAAGGAAAGTGACTCGTTTGACTAGCTTAGTGACTAACTGGTACATAACAAAGAGTCAGAATTTGTTCCTTGAAAGAGAGAGACTGCAGTCAATATGTGATTCTTTTAGAATAGTCACAAAGTGACCTCGAATTCCTGAAATAGATCATTACCTTCAATATTTGGTTTTCATTTAACTGGCAAAACGCACCAATTATTCAAGCAGACAGCCACGCCGTGTCATTTCTTCAGGGGGCAGAAGCCCACGGTGTAGCTTCCACTATTAGAAATGTATAAAAAGTTGTATTTATCGCGGTCAGCTGTGACCGGTTGCCGTAACAAGCATCCTGCTTCCAGTGAAATGGAGGGCAAAACCGATTTATGCCTGTTGTTCCTTAACTGCAGCTACAGGAGTGAGCCAACGCAAGATGCTCGTGTAACAGTACAGTTGCATGGCAAATATAAAAATACGTTACATTCGTGACGTTGACCTGCTGTTTATACCAGAACCTGTGTGTTTATTCAAATACCACTTTGGCCTCCTTTCCTTTCAGAACGTAAATAAACTGCAAAGCCTGGCAGTCAGAAATACACAAAACTTAACGTTAGGCTGTGATCGGCTTATTGGTACGGTAGCCCACGTCAGCAAGGAACACTTTTCTGTCCACACGATTGCAGCTCTATCTACTGGACCTAACTGAGTAGGTTTTACCTGAGGACGGGGACAGGAGCCAGTCTCCGAAACGCTGTGTTTTGAAAAAGGAAATAGAACTTTTTTTTTTAAATAGACAAGACGATGGATAATGCCCCAAAACATAGCACTTGTATTGAGTGAGGCATTCAAAAGTTATTGAGGGGGCACACAGACAGGCAGGCATGATGCAGATCGCCTGACCCTACTTTAGGAAATTAAGCTAATGATCATAGCAAAAGTAAAAGCAACACAGCGCGCCACAACCACATGCACGACAACATCAAAGAACCCTCTTCTCGAGAAGGACAAAGGGGCACGCGTTCCGCCCCCTTCAAGAGAAGTAATAAGAGGGGCGACACGAACCCGCTTAATTTACGAATTCCAATAGAGTCTTAACAAACCAACCACAAACATTTTAATGTATTGGAACAGCCGCTGTAGTTGTAAAGACTTTAGATTTTAAACCAAATTGCATATTATTAATATTGTATGAACGAATTTTCACTTTTAGAACATGTATTGTAATAGTAGCTTCTAACTGTATTGATGTAAAGGTGTCCCACTGATGATGGTCTCTGAACACCGAAACATGTAAGGGCATAAATAATTGAAATAAGAAAAATCTTCACCTGTCACACTGAACGGAACTGTTCAGCTTTTCATGAGCTCATACCAAATTAATGAACAGTAATTGTTACGCTACTGAACATCGGCACTCGCATTGTTTTGGCAAGTACTTTGTAAGCACAAAAATGTTGGTAGTTAAAAAAGTAAAACTGTTTTTGTAACAGGTCTCGGAGACCCATAGGATTGTGAGACATTGAGGCTCCCACACTTTATAGACAATTGGCTCACAGGTGGCTGTGAGGTTTTCAGGCTTAAGCGTCGGCCGACATTTACCCCCCCCCCCCGGAAAATTCACGGTAGTCCTTTATGATGGAGGCTGAGTCGATCCCAGGGCCATACTCGTAGTAGTGAAACTGTTATTTTCAATACATTTTGCGTTGTTGGTAGAAGTTGATATAACGAGTACGTCTAGAAGGCTTCTGTGTCTCACACCTGTGTGGATAAGTTTGTTCGTTTTGAAGCAAAAGACTTGAATATGACAGCCCCGGTCAGCGGTTCTATCTGCATATCTGCACCGCACTGCCCTACTGCAGCGCTGAGCTAATCCGTTCCTGGAAACTCACCTACGCAGGATTCGGAAGCCCGGCGCAGCATGGGCGCCAACTGCACGTAGTTAAAATTGCTATGTTGTCTTCCGGCAGGTTTTAGAAGGTATGCAGGTAATGTTCAATCAAGCCGAAAATTGACTCAATGGAACTATTATTTAACGGCCTCAAACGGCCATTGTCAAGCAAACTATGGCAGTGTGACGGTTTCTGCAGAGACAAAACACCTGATGATGGCCGTTTGAGGTCGAAGCATGTCGTTAGGAGGAGAAATAAAAGCGGAAATAGTTCCATTGAGGGCTGAATTTATCGTGACATGCAAGTATAACAGGTTGCATATATATAATAACGCTTTTGACTCAGTCTGTGTTGTAGTACGAATGTTGCAATAGTAAGAAGAAGAAATGTATTAAAAGCTGAGGAAGGCCACTTCTGTCTCTCATTAGTTGCATATTCTGTACTGTGCCACTCTGGGCAATAATTTCTTTTTTCAATTTTCGTTACACCTGCAAATACGCCTTAGTCCTGTACCATGAACTGCTAACTAGCAAGGCACTAACTAGCATGCTTGTTGCTGGATTGCCGGGGCAACATGGAAGGTATTATGTACCTCGAAACACCAAATTTAGAGGGAACTTCGGGATATTTTATTATTTATCTACTTGCATGTCGAACTTTCGAAATGGTAGTCGGGTTTATCATTTTACATGAATGTGACGCAAAGAACAGGACGAAGACTTTTAAATATTAACAGTTTAAACAATCTGTTCTCTCTTAACACTTTAGTCTAGCGCAAAATGTCAGTACCGGTGTTTAGCTTACAGAACATGACGTAAGTCCAAATTATTACTCAGGGAATCCATCCTTAAAATATCCCAGACATTCTGAATGTTCTTTCTCAAATACATAAAACCCTGAATTAGTTAAAATATAACGTCCGATCACATGCACTCTGGAGTGCTGACCCCTCCTGAACCCTTCACTTCTAGTTGCAACTCGCTCCTCCAACTCAGGGCTCACTGTCACTTTCACTCTGAACTTACAAGTCATTGCGACTGACGCTCAGAGAGTCAGTCAGTCTTGGTGTCGATTTATTACTGTTTGACAGTTACTGTCTTGCTTTTGTGGGGCGCCCTCTCTGACGAGAGGACGGGTCTGTCTTTTGTGTATACTGCTGGTCCTTTCTAACGCAGTCTTTCACGGGTCCCAGTCCCTTGGGACTCGCGACCATATTTTGCTGTCTCAGATTCTGAACTTACCAGAGAGAGGGATGTATTATGAGGTCGAATATGTTACGTTGGCTATTAATTTCTTCTGTGTGTTCTTGTTCTTCTATCAATTTATTTACATTCATGATGCCTCTTTCTTTGGCTTTTTCAGTCATTTCCATGATTACTGTCATCGGCCCGTACTGATGGTGTTTATTTAGTATGTGTTGGGCAAATGCTGATTTGTCCTTGTTTAGTCTTATGTTTCTTATGTGTTCTTTGTATCTTGTTAGATTTCTAGCAGTTTGGCCGATGTATACNCGGAAGCAGCGTCATCAGTAGCGACTTGAAGCACAGAGCAAATGATGCTCGAGATGGTTCAAGTTCGTATAGCAACAGGCGTGACCAGAGTGGTTTGAACGGCTGCTGTACTGCGATGT